GCTAAAAAAATCTTTTGCCTTACATTTGAAAATGCCATGACTCTACTCCCCATACTAGATGCACTATAAAGACACGAAGTAGGGAATCTTGACTCGAAACCAAAATAAGAGAACTGAAATGTCAAGAACTATACTACTATAGCTTTAAAAAAAAATTTCAGATAAAAAAAATGGGACATAGTATACCACTTACTGTCATGGTCAAGCAGTAGTTCTCTCTGATTGCTCCGCAACATCCGAAGAAGGCAATTAAGAATATCAGAACACCAACGATGATGACTAATATGCCTGGTCCCAGGTATTCTTTGCCAAAGAAGTCATAGTACTCATCCATCTTGATGTTCACATAAGCTCCTGTGGCAATCAGGCCAATGCCTGCAATCTGTATGGACAAAGACAAGATCAAACCATGATAGATGGAAAGAAAGAAATAAAGTCAAAACTTTTTTCTGTCAGATAGTATAAATGTTATTATCATTACCTTATAGGGTAGGTTGGGGCAAATTCAGCCCCGGGGCAACTTCGACTGCCTCAAACTTGACTTGGCTTTTGCGAATCATTTGACCCCTGTGTCATGGAATTATCAAAGCCCACTTTTACACGTAACACATTTGCAGCTGTATCTAAAAATAAAATCTATGCTTCTTCGGCTTCCACTTGTTTATATTTTTAGTTTAAAAAAGCTCCAGAAAACACCCATCCAATAGGCACTCCATTGCCGCATACTTTTCGCTCTTGAAGAAAAAAATTGGTACTTCCCACGTCATTTACTTTTTTACACACACCTCTTTTCGCGCTCGAAAATATTTATCAGTCATGTATAAAAAGAAACTTTGGTATCCTTGGGTTCATTTCAATCTATCCAGAATTAGAAGTTTTGATAAAAGGAATTTAGATGATTTATTTAAAATCATGGGGTGAGATTTTGGTTGCTGGTGCAAATTCGACAGGGCAACTTCGACAAAGAGTGGATGAATTTCGACCGGACTCAGATTTGTTCAGGCCAAGCCAAAATACCAGCTTCACAAGCAGAATCACCTTTCACAAACCATCACCTTTCAGTTTAGTCTTGTTTACAAGTAATATTACTTTCATCACGGGTCGAAACCCCTCACCGCTCAGATACAACCTAAATCTAGATCTAGATCAAGCAGAAATTTAATAAACTTAGTAGACTAGACTACTCAACTGTCACAAGTTAGGAGCTATAGGTGTGTGTGTAGTGACAGTGTATGGGTGTCTGCGAGTGTGCAAGTATGTTTCAGTGAGGCACGTGGTGAATTTGTAATTATATTGGATGCGTCTCGCTTTGCTGTCAAAAGTGATTTTGTTACATTCTTAGTGTGAAATCACTGCAAAACAACCTCTAGATTCTAGATCTAGATATCTAGTCTCGGTGATCTTGTAGTTCCGTTTGTTAAAGTCCACGATCCATTTGTTTACATCCAGAGAAGAAATCCAGAAGTCTTGAAGACCAAA